ATATTTTCTCAGTCCCTTTCTTTTTCTCTTCTTCTTCTGGGACACCTATAATTCGAATGTTGGTGTGTTTAATGTTGTCCCAGAGGTCCCTAAGACTGTCCTCAGTTCTTTTCATTCATTTTTCTTTATTCTGTTCTGCAGTAGTTATTTCCACTATTTTATATTCCAGGTCACTTATCCGTTCTTCTGCCTCCATTATTCTGCTATTGATCCCTTCTAGAGTATTTTTAATTTCATTTATTGTGTTGTTCATTGTTGCTTGTTTCCTCTTTAGTTCTTCCAGGTCCTTGTTAAATATTTCTTGCATTTTCTTTATTCTATTTCCAAGATTTTAGATCATCTTTACTGTCATTACTCTGAATTCCTTTTCAGGTAGACTGCCTATTTCCTCTCCATTTGTTAGGTCCAGGTGGGTTTTTACCTTGCTTCTTCATCTGCTGTGTGTTTTTCTGTCTTCTCATTTTGCTTATCTTACTGTGTTTGGGGCCTCCTTTTTTCAGGCTGCAGGTTCGTAGTTCCCATTGTTTTTGGTGGCTGTCCCCAGTGGCTAAGGTTGGTTCAGTGGGTTGTGTAGGCTTCCTGGTGGAGTTGACTAGTGCCTTTGTTCTGGTGGATGAGGCTGGATCTTGTCTTTCTGGTGGGCGGGTCCATGTCTGATGGTGTGTTTTGGGGTGTCTGTGGACTTATTATGATTTTAGGCAGCCTCTTTGCTAATGGATGGGGTTGTGTTCCTGTCCTGCTAGTTGTTTGGCATAGGGTGTCCAGCACTGTAGCTTGCTGGTCGTTGAGTGAAGCTGGGTCTTGGCATTGAGATGGAGATCTCTGGGAGATTTTTGCCATTTGATATTACGTGGAGCTGGGAGGTCTTTTGTGGACCAGTGTCCTGAAGTTGGCTCTCCTACCTCAGAGGCACAGCCCTGACTCCTGGCTGAAGCACCAAGAGCCTTTCATCCACACGGCTCAGAATAAAAGGGAGAAAAAGTAGAAAGAAAGAAAGAAAGAAAGAGGATAAAATAAAATAAAGTAAGATAAAGTAAAATAAAGTTATTAAAATAAAAAATAATTACTAAGAAAAATTTTTTTAAGAAATGTAAAACAAAACCAAAATCAGACGGACAGAACCCTAGGACAAATGGTGAAAGCAAAGCTATACAGGCAAAATCTCATACAGAAGCATACACATACAGACTGACAAAAAGAGGCAAAGGGGAAAAAAATCATAAACCTTGCTCTCAGAGTCCACCTCCTCAATTTGGGATGATTCGTTGTCTATTCATGTATTCCACAGATGCAGGTACATCAAGCTGATTATGGAGCTTTAATCCGCTGCTCCTGAGGCTGCTGGGAGAGATTTCCCTTTCTCTTCTTTGTTCGCACAGCTCCCGGGTTCAGCTTTGGATTTGGCCCCGCCTCTGCGTGTAGGTCGCCTGAGGGCATCTGTTCTTCGCTCAGACAGGACGGGGTTAAAGGAGCCGCTGATTCGGGGGCTTTTGCTCACTCAGGCGTGGAGGGGGCGTAGGGGGGGCATGGAGTGCGGGGCGAGCCCGCGATGGCAGAGGCCGGCGTGATGTTGCAGCAGCCTGAGGCGTGCCGTGCGTTCTCCCGGGGAAGTTGTCCCTGGATCCCGAGACCCTGGCAGTGGCGGGCTGCACAGGCTCCCCGGAAAGGGGGTGTGGATAGTGACCTGTGCTCGCACACAGGTTTCTTGGTGGCTGTAGCAGCAGCCTTAGCGTCTCATGCCCGTCTCTGGGGTTGACGCTTTTAGCCACTGCTCGCAGCTGTCTCTGGAGCTCCTTTAAGCAGCGCTCTTAATCCCCTCCCCTCGCGCACACTAGGACACCAGAAAGTGTCTTCCCTCTTCGGAAGCTCCAGACTTTTCCCGGACTCCCTGGGCGGTAGCTTTGTTGCACTAACCCCTTCAGGCTGTGTTCAGGCAGCCAACCCCAGCCCTCTCCCTGGGATTTGACCGAAGCCTGAGCCTCAGCTCCCAGCCCCGCCCGTCCTGGCGGGTGCGCAGACAAGCCTTTCAGCTGGTGAGTGCCGGTCGGCACCGATCCTCTCTGTGCGGGAATCTCTCCGCTTTGCCCCTGCACCCCTGTGGCTGTGCTCTCCTCCGGGGCTCCGAAGCTTGCCACCCGCAGTCTCCGCCAGGGAAAGGGCTTCTAGTTTGTGGAAACCTTTCCTCCTTCACAGCTCCCACCCACTGGTGCAGGTCCCGTCCCTATTCTTTTGTCTCTGTTTTTTCTTTTGCCCTACCCAGGTACGTGGGGCGTTTCTTGCCTTTTGGGAGGTCTGAGGTTTTCTGACAGCGTTCAGTGGGTGTTCTGTAGGAGCAGTTCCACGTGTAGATGTATTTCTGATGTATCTGTGGGGAGGAAGGTGATCCCCGCGTCTAACCCTTCCACCATCTTCCTCAACTCCATTTTTATCTTCTTCAATTAGTTCTTTGACAATTGACCTCTACTTTTTTGTGCTCAACTAAAATGCTGATTATTTCTTTGTTGGTGTGCATTTCTTTTTAATGTTTAGACGAGCAAACAAAAAAGATTTAAATGTGGTTCATTGAAGTAACTGGGCACTTCATTGCTATATCTAATTCAATCCAGAATATAACAATATTGGTGACAGAAGCTAAGAATGACTCAAACAAGAGTTTATTAGTTCAACAAAAAAACTTCCTGTGTACATCAAAGCTCAAGATTTTTGTTTGTTTGTTTTTTGCTGGGTTTCCTGATTCCCGTATTATCTTTTGTACTTTTTATTTAAAGTATTTCCTGTGGGGTTTGTATTTAGTCACAGATTTATCTGCCAATTCCTAGAAAAATTTATATTTTCTTACTCCATTCCTCTTTTCTTCCTGAAATGCAATACTAGCTGCTTCCTCTACTGTGTGTTAATATTAGCCAGAAGAAGCTCAATTTTTCCAGTCACTTCCACAATGATATAATCCATTATAGCCACTAAAAGTCTCTCCTTATTTAGGACAAAGGATTTGATGAACCTTAGTCCCTTAATATAATGATTACACTCTGATAACTTGATAGCTGTGTATGTAAACTATCTGAGTCAAGTTGGAGGGAATATTTTGTAACATGTGTTATCAGCAAAATTCAGATAACATCATTTTCACAGTAGCCTTTGGCTCAGTTATCATTTAAAAATTACTCTTGTGAAGAATTGCAAAAGGTATATATATGTTCCTCTGATTGGAATGTCAGCTCAGTTATTACATTGCCAGTGAGCTAGGATTAAAATCAAGGACAGCCCTTGCTCTGTGCCTTGTGTAAAGTTAGTGTTTAGTAAATACTGTTTGATTGATTTGATGAAACATGACATCTGAGTCGAGTGTTCTTCATAAATTCAAGGGACTCCTCTTTTCTACTATGTCTTCAGAAGAACTTTTAAATTCCCTGGATTCTTCTGAGACAAGAGAAGATGATGTGTTTCTGGTGTCCTATCCAAAATCTGGTAAAGCTTATTTTAATGTATTTTATAATGTAGAAATACAATAATAATAATACACATAATAAATTTTATCAAACATTTATTTTTCAGAATTTTTCCACAGGAAATTAGAGTACCTTAAATGCTTATTTCAATGAAAAATCTTCACATTAGAAAGCCAAAAGATGTGCTTTGAGAAAATTCAACTGGAGAAATTAGAGCTTTACTACACTTTCGTTTCTATTTTATTCATGAAGGCATACAGATGTTAATACATATAATAAGCATAATATCTATAACATTATGAATTCTCTTCATACTTTGAGCCAGGCATAGTGATAAATAAATAGCTTTTGTTCAATTTGTACTTAATTATTGATTTATAAATAATTGTTTTCTTCTGGGCTGATAAGAACAGGTGGCTAATTTATACCATATACAAACAACCATATTTAAGGCTTCCACTGGACGTACTGGTGCCTATAAATTGACATCTTCCACTAGTTGCCAGGAGGTCCCTTTCAACAACACAAAGCTGTGTATTCTCTCTTCTTCATCAGAATAAATCAGTATGTTTAATTAAAATAATGCAAACATCACTACTATATGAGTCGCACTTATATGACTATTATAATTATACATATTTAAGACTTATTAACATTATAATCTAAAATTTTCTTAAATTTAAAACATATAGTGTTAAAGAGAGCACTGTTTAAATATTTAGTCAATTGTAAATTTGTTGATATTGTATCTAATTGGACTTACAATGAGATAAATGGAAACTAGGCCTCATTTAAACCCTTTATGGGCATTGCTTTCAAATTAGTGAAACACCCTCCCCACCCAAACTTCTACCTCTTTGCTCCAATTTACTATAGCCTACAGCACTGGAGCATATCTTCATTTGCTTTAGGTAAACATAAAGTGATATTTCTTCCAGACTTCATGGTAGTAGGTATGCATCTCCATGACATTTGAATATGGCATTCGTTCATTGTTCAAATGCTTTGTTTGCACAACTACTCTGTATTTGCTTACAAACAAAGATAAGATTCTGTGTCTATATTCAAGGGGGAAATAGACAGACATGAATGCAAGCAGTGGCAACTCTCTTCTGGTGTGTGCTGCTTCCAAGGGACAGAAAGAGAGAGCAATTATGAGAGGGGAGTGGGGATTCAGAAGACAGATTTTAATACAGCAAGATGCATGAGCTTGCAGGACCGGTAGGAATCGTGAATGAAAAGATCTGTGTGTTTGTGAATTAGAGAAGGTACTAGAAGTGAGTGGTAACACAGAAGAGTATTTCAAGCTGAGGAAACAGTATATACAGTTTTCATAACTATTCATGCTCTTTAAAATGTGATTCCTCCTGTAAAGTGAATTAACATCTCAAAGGTTTCAACAGGTTTCAGTTGGTGTCAAGAGGGGATAACTATTTATAATAAAATTAATGCATTCATTGCTTTTATAACCTCATACTAATTTTCTATATTCATTTCGAGTATCACTTAATTATAAAATGCATTTCATTTTATTTTCTTATGAAGGCACTCACTGGATTGCAAAAATCATTGAGAATATTACCAAGGCTAGAATAACCCTAACACCTCTATTGAATTGGGAGACAGTTCTAAATTTGAAGAGCAAAAAATGTACTGTGAGAAGAGTTATCCCACCGCATTTGAACTACAATGTGCTACCAATGAATATTAAACAAAAACAATGCAAGGTAAGTTCAATGGTTAAGGGCAGGGGCTTGGGGTTACACAAACCTGCACTTGGATTCTTGCTGTGTCACTTTCAAGCTATGTGACCTTTGAAAATTGCTGATGCTCTCTGAGCTTTGGTTTCCTCATTTAATGCAGGGATAATAATATTCATCTCATATAGTGTGATGAAGATGAAACAAGATAATGAGTGTATAGGTGTTACCACAGTGTCTAGCTCATAAAAAATTATTATCTTTCAGTAATGAAAGAAATCTGAATCATTATGTCAACTGTAATTATGCTAGACAATGTCTTATTCTATTCTGAATCTGGTTGGAGTCATTTTACTTTAAATATTGATGTCTAGAGAAAGAAAAACTGCCTTAATAATTTTATTTTAATTATTTTATCTATAATTTTTGCAAAAGATTATATAGGAAAAGAATAAAAAATAAACTATAATATAAAACACTAAAGAATATTTACCTCAAGCCGTTTTTAAAGTCCCCACAGTATTATTTTAAGTTACTTCTGGGACTTCCCTGGTGGTGCGGAGGTTAAGAATCTGCCTGCCAATGCAGGGGACACAGGTTTGAGCCCTGGTCCGGGAAGATCCCACATGCCGTGGAGCAGCTAAGCCAGTGCACCACAACTACTGAGCCCACGTGTTGCAACTACTGAAGCCTGTGCGCCTAGAGCCTGTGCTCCACAACAGGAGAAGGCACGGCAATGAGAAGCCCAGGCACCACAAAGAAGAGTAGCCCCCGCTCGCCGCAACTAGAGAAAGCCTGCGTGCAGCAACGAAGACCCAACAGAGCCAAAGAAAAACAAAGAAGTTACTTCTAATTTTAAAGAATATCTTCTGTCTTCATATACTTCTTATTCAAATTTGTTTTCATGGAGAAATGCATGATCAGAAAAAAAAGAGAATAATATTTGTAAAGCAAAGGCAAGATAAATGTGTCCACTGTAAACAATTTCCCAGTAATGAAGCCTCTTTAAACAATGTCAGCCATATTCTTAAAAAAACAAAAAAAACTACCAAATGTGCATAAATTGAAGCAGATCTTCCGATGATTATAACTCTGCGACCACAGTGTTTCCATGTACATCATCTACTCTTCCACCCAAATAAAAGTAAACACAACGAGAGGCAAATGCCATGAAGTTTTGTTTTTATCCCAAGCAAATCTATCAGAACAGGTGAAAGTATACTAACCTGAGTACATTTTGACTCAACGGAGCATCTTCATTTCAAACAGCCTGTCTCTAAGGCAAGGAGAGAGAGATTTGGGGAGGAAAGGAGTCTGGTAAGCTCAATTACCTTTACTCAGGGCAATACAGTAAAACTGATAACAAATGCTACCAGAGATTAAGCTGTGCTTTATAAACATTACAACAATGACAAGAGTAGGTATTTTTCCTCTTATAAGTAAGGAAACTGAAACTCAGATAGGTTAAGGTGCGTCTTAAAACCACCACACTAACATTACAGCCTGAAGGTACAATCATTTCAGTGTGACCCTTAATGGGGACTGAGACTGTCTGGTTGCCCCTGGTCTCCCTAGAGGATGATCTGTCACCTCTTGCTGATGGCCGAGCCCTGAGAGCTCGGGAGATGGACAAGCCTTAAATGCCCCAGGAGGGCCAGTCAGAGAGTAAGTTCCTCCTCCGATCTTTCCCTATCGGCACTTTACCCTACTTGGCCTCCTATATTTTATTTCTAACCTTTATCTCTCCTTTTATAATGTTTCCCAACTTTCTTACATGAAATTTATGTTTTCAGCTCATTTCATGATAAGTTAATATTTAATTTTTTAAATAGAATTTTAATTTTTTAAAAAATTTAATTTTTTAAATATTTAGTTAATATTTAATTTTTTCTCCAGAGTACTATTCTGCCTTCCCTTCATATCCCTCAACCTCCCCCTAATGTTTCTTACAGTTTCTTAGAGTACATCCTTGATGTGTGTGTGTGGTTTTTTTTTTAATTTCATTTAATTTATTTTTTTATACAGCAGGTTCTTATTAGTTATCTATTTTATACATATTAGTGTATATATGTCAATCCCAATCTCCCAATTCATCCCATCACGCCCCCACCGCTTTCCCCACCTCCCTTGGTGTCCATATGTTGTTCTCTACATCTGCGTGTTTATTGAGTGTAATTGACATATAACAGTATATTAGTTTCAGATGTATGACATAGTGATTCCATATTCATGTGTATTGCGAAACTATCACCACACTGTCTACTTAACATTTGTCACCATGCATAGTTACAGAACACATTCTTTTAACCTCTTTTGGTAAAATATGTGTTAATGGGTTGCACTGCCCTTCCCACTAGATCGTACTGACATGCAACTTTGAGGGAGGGTTCTCCAAAGGCCCTAAAAAATTCTTCTCTCTACCAAAAAAAAAAGTCTCCATCTGGATGTCTAAGGTTTAAAATTTGGCCATTTATTCCTTTTTGTTAAGGCAGTGGATTTTTAAACTGTCATCTCTGGGCCTTGGGGTTTTGTGAATCTGCTCAGGAAGCTTAGGGCATTTAGAGGAAGCCTGAGGTGCTGGGTTACTCCACAATTATCTCTTGGGATGAAGAGAAGATAATGGTGGGGTTAAAGGTGGCTCTTCATTCCTGCGTGTCATGGTCTTTGTGTATCTTTCAAGTAAAGAGCAGCAGATGCTGTGCATTTGCATTAGGGTCACAACCTGGACTGTGAACACAGTAGGGAAAGATATGTATTAAAAATGACTCAGAGAAAACTTCCTTATCTAAGTAAAATGCGTCCACCTTGATTTTCACTTAAAAAGCAAGTAGAGTATCTGGTACTCAAGTGATGCTGACCATGATTGAGGACAGTCCTATTACATCCAGACTTCTCACACTGGTTTCCAGAGGTTTCTTACATGCTCCTAAAGCTCTCTGTACTTCGCTGTTATAACCTTCGTAACACTGCACTGTCAAGAGTGTGTTTAATTATCTGCTTCCCTCACTTGACTGCAAGTTTTGAGAGGGCTGGAATCATTTCTGTCTTGCTCATTATTCCTTGCCTCTGGAACACTGCACACTGCCTGGTATACAATAGGTACTAAATTAATATTTATTGAATCAAATTAACTTGCAGTTGCAGTATTTGTATAAAGTGGGAGGGTATCACAGATTCCCTGCTCTTTGGAGGATCAAATTGTACAAAAAGGAATTCCAAAGCATTCCTCTTCCTATAAATGTGAACAATTTGTAAGAAATCTTCTTGTATGTAAATCATGTTTTGTAATACATGGATATTAAAAAATTAATCTCGTCCTTCAAATGAGTAGGGTCTCTCAAGTCTGCCCCTAAAATATTACTACCAAATTTTGTCACATAAATTCAAAAAGTGTGGTCAGTGGGCTGGCAGCATCAACATCGCCTGGGAGCTTGCTAGAAATGCACAATGCCAGGCCTCATCCTGGAACTTCGGAATGAGAATCTGCATTTTAACCAGATCCGCTGATGATTTTTATGCACCTTTTGCACCTTAAGTTTTGAGACACACTGGTCTAAGTCTGTGTTTAATAACCAGCTGAAGCTACCAAAAAGTTGTGACTTGCACAGGTGAGCTTGGCTGCTACTTTCTTTTAGGAAATGTTTTGTGTTGGGGCTATTTCCCTCCAAAAATAAATGGATATTTTTTTTTAACAGATTATCTACATCACTAGGAATCCAAAAGATACAGCTGTTTCACTACAGAGAGAACCCTAATCTCCCTGGCATTGAAACATGGCATGAATTGTTTGAGCTGTTCCTAAGAGGAGATGGTAAATACAGCAATGATTTTTATTCATAATATACAGGGAATATTTCTGCCCAAAATGAAAGCATTTTCCAAAAGTTCAAATGAATCCTAACTGCCTATTTTCAGAAATAGATTTGAATAGATTATTCTTTTGCTTCTTCTAAGCAAATTCTTTCTCACTTTGCTCCCTCACAGTTTTTCTTATCACCAATGGGTAGTAAGTACATAAGAGCAATGACTTATTAGCTGGTTTTAATGTCTTCAGAACAGATTAATTCTGATCAAGCATTTCTTTTTTTCATATACCATCAGTCTTTTCAGTGAAGTAATTATTCACTGATTAGAGTACCGTGAGATACAGCTGAAAGCTAGACAGGTAGCTTGAAACATACCTTATATACACCTGCACAGAAAATAAAACAAGTCAAACAGTACACACACACACACACACACACACACACACCCAATTCCCCAATTATAACAAAGAATTTGCCATCTTAACACTTGGCAGAAAGTAATTTATTCTGAAAACTCCACAATGATACATCATTTATTGAGCTGCGCAGCACATGCTGGGCCTGCCACCATGTGTGACCTTTGGATTTATTCTTTTTTCCCTGACTCAGTGGTGTCTGGAGCACTTAAAGAAAACAAAACAAAACAAAACTCTTCTGAATTCCCAAGGCTTTCATTAAACAAAAATAATATACCAAGATGATGCAGAATCTAGAAGAGACATGATTTAGAAATGGTGTGTTCCCTGAGGATCTTATCTCTCACTGGACTTAATTGCTACTTTCGCTGTTTTACTTGCAAATTGTTAAGCTTTTACTTGTTAATTTAAGAGAGGCCACAGCAAGCATAACCTTAACATGAGGACATTGGAAACTCACCAGCAGCAGGGTTTTTGTTTGTTTGTTTTTATTTTTGGCTGCGTTGGATCTTTGTTGCTGCGCAGGCTTTCTTTAGTTGCGGCAAGCGGGGGCTACTCTTCGTTGCCGTGTGCAGGCTTCTCATTGCAGTGGCTTCTCTTGTTGCGGAGCACGAGCTCCAGGTGCATGGGCATCAGTAGTTGCAGCACGCGGGCTCAGTAGTTGTGACGCATGGGCTTAGTTGCTCCATGGCAGGTGGGATCTTCCCGGACTGGGGCTCAAACCCGTGTCCCCTGCATTGGCAGGCGGATTCTCAACCACTGCGCCACCAGGGAAGTCCCAGCAACAGGGTATATTTTGTTTTGCTGTAATCCCTAAGGAAGAATATACTATGCTCACACTGTTTCAACTCCTCTTTCTATGTTGCTCCCTATCTAATGGCACATATTTGGTAGAACCATCAAATTTCAGAAATGACAGGTATATTAAAGGTCATCTGGTTAAAACACCCACCTGATGTTTGAATCACCTTTACAACATCCCCAGGAATTGTAGAGGCTAAGCTTGAACTTCTTACCCTCGACAACAAGTTCACACCCCTCCCTCTTGCCCCAAAGCAACACATTCAATATTGGTACTGCTAAGATGTTTTAAAAAATCTTACCTTGTGATATGGATTGTGCCCGTACCATGTGATACAGCCATTCAGCTAAGTGCTATGCAAACACGATCTCATTTCATCCTCACTAGAACAAATGAGGTAGATCTTATTATCCTCACTTTACAGGTGAGGGGAATGCAGGCCTTGGGAGGCCAAATATCTTATCCACAGATGCATAACTAATAAGGAGGAGAGCCAAGATATAATTCAAGTGTGAGCTCCAAAATCTTTGCTCTGACCGCTGTGCCTTAACTCGTCCAGCAAAAAAACTGTCCCCCGATCATTAATTCATCTTCCACCTGATCGCCTTCTAAATATTTGAAGATAGTTAGCATGCCTCACTCTGCCTCAGTTCCATCTTTGGAATAAGCAGAGTTTAAATACATAAATTATTTTTTAAAAAACAGATCTTGAGTCTGCTTTTCCTCAAAAAAAGAAAAGCTGTGTTCATCTCCAACTATTACAGACTGGTTCACCACCCCTTAGCACTGCATGAGCTCTCCTTTGGCGATATCTCTATTATTTTGTCGTGCCGGAAGGCAAAGCTTCCTCTCGGTATGGTCTGACTAGGCCTGCTCCTGTTCTAGAGATTGTCTATGAGGGCAGCCACAACCCAGGCCACACGCAGGGAAGCAAACTAGCTACCACGGTGCATCTACCTTTGCTACCATTGTCAGGAGTCCTGGCAGAATATCTGGGAAGAGCAGAGTGTAGTCAGAAAAAATATTTCAGATGATTCTTTCACACCTTCTTAGCTGAGTTCATAGGGATTTGACTTGTAAGTATTCTACAGTCACGTAATCCAGTCTAGGCCAACTGTGTCACAAGAGGAATAGTCACTGAACCGTTAAAGCTTTAGTTAAATTTATTTGAGTGGTAGCTTCCCTTTTTACTATTTATAAGATAGGGTATTTGTTTTCCTGTGTGTGCGGGGTAGGGGATGTTTGTATGTATGTGATTGCGTGTCAGGGATGTTCTTCAGTGTCTATTTGAGGGGAGGGTTATGTGCAAATGACATGATACATTAGAAAGAACAGGCTACGGAGACAGAAGAACTGGAATGAAGTCCTGACTCTATTTTATTCCCTGTATGGCTTTGGACAAGTAGCTTAGCTGTTCTGAGGTTCAGATTCCTAATGTAGAATAGGACTAACAAAACTATCTATTTTGTAGAATTATTTAGAGGTTATAATTATGTGATGGCTAAAGTTTCCTGTAGAAACCTACTCACTTATTCTATTAAACGTAGACATTTAAACACACACAGACTTACATAGTTTCACATTAGGGTGGAAATGTTACAAGTAGATATTTATCCAGAAAGATTAATTTATGACTGAGGCATCATGATACCCTGTACCCAATTCCAAACCATAAACATAAATACACATGATATGACAAGACAGGACAGTAAAGATATACATAGCTACACATTTGTCTAATCATTTAATTTTCTCTTTCAGTTTACAAATACGCTTTAGGTTTTCAAATTACATAATAACTATAAATTGCGTTCTGGCAGTATCCTGACAGATTAATCTCTCGATGCAATATTAGCTTTTTACTTTTTCCCCCTACAGCCCCCTGTCCAGTTTTATATTAGAACTGGAGACAACTTTAGAACTTTATATTTCCTAGGCCACTTCACCCCAGCGAGTTTTGTTTTCTGCACAGTTATCTATCATCAGAGTACTTTCTAGAAACTAGAAACTAAGATCCTCATTATAACTGGATATAAGTGTAGGGCACAGGGTTTGCAGGAAATGTGGGAGGTTTGAAATAGCTGATGTGAAGAATAAGAGAATGTGTTCATGCAGGACAAATAGGTTTTCCAGGCAGCTCTGGAGCCCTTAAAGTTGGAAAAATGAATTTGCAGTGGTATAAATACATAGAGTTGTGTAAATTTCTTCAGCAGAACTCAGCAGCAAGGAGAGAGAGGAAGAGAAGAGGAAATGCTTTAGTTTAACACTGGGTGCTTTTTGGTGGTTGAAATAAACAATTAGAGGGCAAATAAGAAGGTATTGGCAAGTCAGTTGTTGAGGGGATGAATAAAAGGAAGAAAGTGAAAAAAATGGTCAGAATAGGAGATTGTAGAAGCTACCCATTAAGATTTTGGTCGAAAATCAGAATCTTCATTGACTGTGGGAGAGAGATCCCAAGGCTGATTTCTGACTGAGACAAGGATGGAAAGAGTAGTATATTCAAAAACATGATTCCCAAAGGAGCCTGGATTCTGTAGGAGGGAGGCGTTCTAGAAGTGGGTAGGAAGCAGTGAGATTTCTGACTCACTCTCCAGACCCTAAGACACACGGGTTGGTTGAGAAAGAGCAACTTCTATTTAGGGGCATTTCAGAGGAATGAGTAATTTTGGATAGCAGAAGAAGGGCCATCCAGGCATATGTTAAGGCCGGGAGGTGATGGAATAATTCTGTAATTTCGTGAGCGATGTGCAGAAAAACATTTTCCATTAAAGGAATATTTCATATCTGTTTTAGAAGCTGTATTTTCTTTAAAGCCATAGGTCTACTCATGACCTAGGCAATGAGGATTCTGATTAAAAAATGAACCAAAACTGTAATTCCCTATATTAGTAAGGAAGCCACAGGCAGTGAATTTCTTTAGATTCTTTCAGCTGGCTTAAGTCCTTTTGGAACAAGGTGGAGAATGAATTAATTAGTCAATGAATAGCTGGGTCTCATTATGATCAGGCTATTATGCAAAGTTTATTCTTAAATCTATTTCGGGCATGTTGGAATATATTTCCTACTGAAAAACCATAATGGACAAGGTAAATTACATCTAATCACTGGGTATGGCACTGGGTCTCTATCCCTCCTCAGCCTCCTGGCTATAGAAGCATGGGCTCCCCTGACAGTATTGGGAGCTTCCATAGCATCAGCAACTCTAGGAAGTGACATTAATCACCAGGGCTTGGCTGTAGCTGCTGAGGGGAGGTGGAGAGGCGGGTTGAGACTATGAGCATAGCCTGGGGTTCTAGAGACTTCCTAAATTTGAGAGAAAATCAATCTTTCTCCTACCATGTGTTTTGTGCCTTGGAAAAGGTTGGCCATTCTTAGAAGATAAACTTCTTACCACTGATATGGTAATTTGGGTAATTCTAAGATAAAGTATTATGTAAGTCATTGAAATAGCAGTGAGATTGCTAGTAACTGAAGATCGTATCAGGGCAGCTCTTCTTGGCACTGATTCTTATTACATAGTCTTATGGGCCTATGGAGCAGAAAATTGGGCTAACACTATAATGATACCACTGTAGTCCTGGAAATTCTTGTTTTAAAAATACATTATGGGACTTCCCTGGTGGTCTAGTGGTTAAGACTCTGTGCTCCCAGTGCAAGGGACAAAGGTTCGATCCCTGGTCAGGGAACTAAGATCCTGCATGCCATATGATACAGCCAAAAATAATACATTATTTTTTTGCCCTTTGCTTCCTCAGGAGCTGAAGTCATGAAAAACTGCAGTTAGTTTGGAGTTAATTATACTTCAATTTATTCAAAGATTTAATGTCCTAAATGTATAGCACAATGTTTGGAAGACAATAATGGCTTAATAAATGTTTATTAAAATGAATCAGCAGTCAGCAGATCTTCAGGAAATCACTAGTAGAGTAGCTCTTTTATGATTGAGGCATTAGCTAGTATTAAATCTTTGGATGATAAGGAGATGTCGACAAAAAAATAATCAATAGCCTAAGAAAAAATGGAAAATTTTATTTAAGCCAATCTGAGGATTAAAACCCAGGAGACAGTCTTTCAGAAAGCTCTGAGGACAGTTCCATCCGTTAGAGGTCAAATCACAGTTATATAAGTTTTGAGACAAGGGGTTATATGTCAAATGACGTATTATTGATAGTTTACAGATCCAGATCTACATGTACAAAGTGAGTCATGAGTCATCATGACTTCTTACAAGATTAAGAAGGAATGTTTTCTCCTGAGGATGTCTGGTTAATGCAGACACTCTAAAGGGGAGGGAGGAGGTCCAAACAGGCAGAGAAAACTTTTATGTTTAAATTTTTCTCATCTTGCCATAAAATATGAATTTTAATTAATCAATTTCCTGCTTTTGATCATTAATCTTTTAATAGAAAGCATTAGGTAATCATATATTTGGTCCCTTGATGCCAGGGTGGTTGCTTACCCAGCCTGAGTCCACCATGTCCCTTGATGTCAGGTCTTAATAGCTTGGTTCTTTCTTTCCTTTTAGGGGGTTGTACTAGTAAGATATATGACAGTCAAGAGTAACAGTCAATTCCAAGTTGTCCAATAGGACTGGTGCCAATTTTACCTTGCATGTGCATTGTGCACATTCATTAAATTATAGAGAACTATAGATATGATAGTTTCAAGTTTAGATATCATTATCTTAGTAGAAGTTGATACACAGCTTGAGAGGCAAGAAACTATCGCTTTATAAATTACACAAACTAGTCAAAATTGCCAGTAGGAGTAACAATGTCATTAGTAAAGACTGAAGCCAAGATCTTCCTAAACCAAACCATTTCCCTAGTATTTCACTTAGATTGGGAAGAGGATCTTTCATAGGGGAAATTTGATTCTTCATGTGTCATAATACAGGTCACATTAGAAGACCCATCAGGTATAAAAACCCAACATTTAGTATGTATTATAGCACAAGTTCCCCCCCAAGAAGCAGTTAGAATATCCAGGGCCATGCAATCCTGTAGGACCACTTTTCTCATCATGGAGACTTCCAAATTGAGCAAGCTAATGGCTTGATTATTATCATTCAAAGCTTGCTGAGTAAATTTTGTTAAAGCCTACATGTGATTAATGATATCTTCTATCCCTAGTGAAGACAAGAGTGTCACAGCCAAATGGTCATACCATTGGAAAACTCATCGAAACCCAGCATGCTCACATTAAAGGCAGATTGGCAGGGGCTGTTTCAAGGCTTCCTGTAAGTGACCTTGAGCCCAAAAGAAATCAATTGTGCATCTTCCTAACCAACCTGGGGAAAGCCAAGGCCATAAACTTGTTCCATAAATCCACTGCTACCCAGTATTTAACATTTAGTGTAAAGGAGTATTTATGGCCAGGTTCAGAACAAGTGTCATTAGTTGGTCAGGTAAGAGGGTCTCACTTATTGATACTGGTGGTAGCATTAGCTTGCATGAAACTAGAATTTCTTTCTTCTAAAATAAAATTTCTAAGAGCCATCCAGTTAGAATCCTGGAGAAGATAAATCTACCAAGGTAAACTAGGAGTATTGGACATAGGCAGTTGGCCACAAACAAAAGTTGGATTGACTTTTTCAAACTGGAAAACGACTGAGTCCAGGGAAGAAATACATTTGGTTCATCAGTAAAAGTATGAACAGCTATCAGAGTAATTGCTATATGAGCCTTGTCCGGCATCTTGGGTCAGCTGTCCACTTCAGATGTTGTCTTCTCATCCTGGTCTGGTAGTGATGGTTTTAGTCAGGTGTTAGAAACAGGACTTGCAGTTCATTCAGGAGAGGATGCCTGATAGGGTTCTTCCCAACGTGGCTGTAAAGATTCCTTTAACTGACGTCTTTTCCAGCGTGCACAATGTCCTGGTTGCAGGTCATGGGGCATCTATTCTTCTTCCAAAGATAGGTTACTGTGATAGTTAGTTTCAGAAAAAAGTCTTTCTGGTAATGTAACACAGCAAGAAGGAGCCATCTGAGAAGTGAGTCTTAGGTGGTAAATACAAAAAATCTCAAAGACAACAACCGTAGAACTTAATGTCCACTAAAACATGATTTTTTAAAATAAATTTATTTTATTTTATTTATTTTATTTTTGGCTGTGTTGTGTCTTGTTTGTTGCAAACAGGCTTTCTCTAGTTGCAGAGAGTGGGCTTCTCACTGTGCTGCCTTCTCTTGTTGCAGAGCACAGGCCCTAGGCGTGCGGGCTTCAGTAGTTGTGGTGCGCAGTCTCTAGAGCGCAGGCTCAGTAGTTGTAGCGCACAGGCTTAGTTGCTCCACAGTATGTGGGATCTTCCCGGACCAGGGCTCGAACCTGTGTCCCCTGCATTGGCAGGCAGATTCTTAACCACTGCACCACCAGGGAAACCCAGCATGATTTTTTTTTATGTCTACTAAAATTACCCTCATTTCTACCAAATGTAGCCAAATTAAGACTAATTTATTTGCAAAATAAGTCTGGTTTTAATAAACTCGGCTTGATTATTTACATAAGTGTAATTGATCATACAGGTTCTTTTAAGGTGGCTCTGCTGGAACTTTCTATAAAGAATATCAAATTGAACTTTAAAAAGGCCTCTCAAGGCCAGGAAATCCACACCAAGGGCTTGACGTCAGATTCCGCCTATGATATCTATAGATTTGGATGGACTCCTCTCTTCTCTAAGTCCCCCAAGTATCCCAAGATTCCTACACCTGCCAGGAGGCAGCCTTTCATATTCACCTGATAAAGCTGCTGGGAACCTAAGAGTTTCCAATCTCTGGAGGGGTCATGTAGAGGGAAAAGGTAAATATTTCAATTCTACTTACAAAGGTACAACTTACCAAATTGCTGTAAGTCATAATTAGCTTGAAGGGAAGGGTTTCCTTATAGCTCAAAACACAGATTGAAAACCAGTAATATTTCAGAGAAAAACTAAAAAATTATAACCATATTCATCAATTTGTTCAGTCCTATGTGACTAATCCTTGATCTTAATCTTCTGTTAACAGTTTTATTAAGCTATCAGATTTTCCATTAGATTTCTTTAATTTCTTCAGTTCAGCAGTATAATCTGAAAGCTATCAGAAACCTGTACTTGTCAGAAGGTTCCTCCTGTGAATCTTGAAGATGAAGCATTTTTGCAAAAGCATCAGAGTACAAACAATAACTGTCTACAAATGACAAAAGATTTAAGAAGCCACAGTTAAAGATCTGATTACAATGCAATTGACAAAGAAACTTGGTTATTGCTGTGGCATACAACATTTTTTTTTTTTTGGCTGTGTTGGGTCTTCGTTGCTGTGAGTGGGCTTTCTCTAGTTGTGGCGAGCTGGGACTACTCTGTTATGGTGCGCAGGCTTCTCACTGTGGTGGCTTCTCTTGTGGAGCACGGACTGTAGGTGCCTGGGCTTCAGTAGTTGCAGTGCGTGGGGTCAGTAGTTGTGGCTTGCGGGCTCTAGAGTGCAGGCTCAGTAGTTGTGGCGCACGGGCTTAGTTGCTCTGCAGCATATGGGATCTTCCCAGACCAGGTGTTGAACCCATGTCCCCTGCATTGGCAGGTGGATTCCTAACCACTGCACCACCAGGGAAGTCCCATTTTTAATATTTTACTTTTAAACCCTGGAGATTTTTAAGGCTGTCAATTTAATGAAATGAAAAAGGAATAATATCAACTACAGAGAAATCTCTAAGACTGTATTTTTCAGCCTTGAACTAAGGTAAGTGAACAGAATTTGTTTTGAGGATGTTTATAAACTTTTTGTACTAAGAACTTACCATTATGAAAAGCATGTCATTTTACAGGAAGAAAATGATAAATTCTTATGGTTTCCCTATTTCTCCCAAGATCCAAGGTAGATATCAAAACACAATTCTTGGGAAAATATGTATCTTTGTAGTTCTGCTGTCACTGTTTTTTTTTTTTTTTTTTTTTTGGCCTCGTGGCTTGCGGGATCTTTTTTCCCTGACCAGAGCTGGAACCCACGGCCCCTGCGGTGGAAGCACAGAGTTCTAACCACCGGACCACCAGGGAAGTCCCTCTGCTGTCACTTCTGATGATAAAAGAATATTTACTAAAAATAAGAAAAAAACACCTCAGCCTAATTAAAAGAGGGGGCCATCCAGCTTCATTTCACAATATTATATTTATTTGAAATAGTGAAATTGAGCTCTTTGAAGGAAAACTCTTGCCCTCCAGAGTCTAATACGTGTGTGCCTTACTTTGACTACTTCACTGAAGTGGGAAGAACCCAGGGATGCAAAGTGATAATGTTCAATGAAAGCTTTTTTATAACATTTAATATTAGCACAACAATTCACTTTTCTTCTGTTGTATATGGATCCTGGTTTGATCACGTTTTAAGCTGGGAAGAACACAAAAATGCTAAGAACATTCTAATTATATCCTATGAAGAAATGAAGAAAGTAAGTCCTTTCTACCATTTCAACAATGAAAATTTAAGTAGAATTAAGTTAAAACAGGAAATCAATGAATGAATTCCATTTTCAGGTTTCAGAGAATGAATTTAGTGTTTTGATGAGATATACTTTATATACATATATATATATATGTGTATTTATTTGCTTTTTGTTCAGGATCCTTCTAAAACCATAAAGAAAATAACTGCTTTCCTTGGTTTAAGCATGAGTGATGGTGAAATTAATCAAATTGCTTGGAAAACATCATTCACTGAAATGAAAAATAATACAACCAAAGAAAACTGTGATCCAAATCATACCATCTGTGCCCTCACATCTAATAGGAACCTGGTATTTAGGAAAGGTAAGTCAGAGATGTGATGCTTTGTCTGGGCTTACATCTGGAAGTAATTGCATCTCACCATTTTTAATCTCTCATTTCACCTTTGTACACCCCATGCCTTGCACAGTGGATTGCACATTGGCATCCCTCAGTGAATGTTTATTAAGTTTATTAAGTGAAATTTTTGAACTACATTCTTTCCAGACGTTGACCTTCCCAGGCCCAGTTAGGAACCAATTGAAAGATAGACACAGGTGTCAAACAGATAGAAATGACAAAGCTATGTGAAGAATGTGCCTCAGGTCTGTAGCCTAGTGTGATTGCTAGTAACTAACCCTGAATTTTACAAACATACTCATTTAGTCACAGCCGCTCAAATGCAGTCCTGACCCCCGCTGGGGCAGGACACTTAGAGCATGGCGATAGAGTGGTACCTGACTCATGTCTTCTCCAGGAGAGAGAAGAGAGCTGTATGACCAGTGCATTTTCCTAACCGCAGCAATCAAATAACTCACCCCGCAGGAGTAAGGAAGGGGTGGAGAGAGAAGCTGGGATTGTTATCTAAGGATGTTCCTCTGCATGGAAACACAGAGAGAAGAAAATAAATCTTCTCCACTAATTCCTGACGTTTTAGAAGCAGGTTGGGTACATCTGGATATAGAATTGTTTTGAAATCCATGTGAATTTTAATACACATCTGGGGAGAAAATGTTTTAACATTTTTCAGATTTTTCATAACTTACAAAGACAAAATTCTTTGTACTTATATACTCAGGTTTCTTACTAAAAACACACATTTATTTCCATTCTTTGCCTCAACTGAATATAATTACTCCCAAAGCAAATACTGGCCAATTTATGTAAATCAGATATTAACTTTGCAAATTACTTTTGTCCTTTTTTGTGGTTCATTTTTTATTTCCTGATAGTTGGAAACCCAGGGCTAAGAGAGAGGAGAGAATTCAATTTACCAAATGTTTATTAATAAACTATTTTCTAAAAACTAAGTTTCAAAAATTTAATAAAATACAGACCTGTCATTCAGAAGATCATAATCTAGATGATAATACAAGGTCATAACAACTATACTAATAGTATGAGCAAATGTGAATAGCAACATGAATAAGGGAGAGAAAATATTTGCCTAGCAAAGTAGGTGAGGAGATCAGATCTGGGACTGGAAGCCTGAGCAGGATTTTACTAGGAAAATGACAAGGAAGAAATATGTTACAGCAAGAGCTAACAGCAAGAAGAAAATCTCAGAACCACCATGGAATTAGAAGGTATTTTCTAGAAGGAGCAGGTAGTCTCACGTGCTAAAGTAGTATATGATATGTGAAGCAGAATGAGAGAGATAAAGACTGTGGACAGAGAGCAAAGGCTTTGATGGACATCATGAGGTCTGTTTGCTGTTTTAAGAAGGTACCTGCCAATGGTCAGACCTGTGTGCTAGAAAATCATAGAGTCAGAGTGGAAAATTGATTAGAAGAGGGTGAAAACAGAGGCAAAAAGTGCAGTTAAAATGTTGCTGTCATAGTACAAGTAAAGAAGCATTGAGGGTCATAATTCGGGCACGGGCAGCAAGCCACTGTTGGGTGCAGCTCGGCTGAGAGGTCAGCTTAGGAGGCATCAGCAGACTGTGGAATTAGGTAAAATTGTTCAGGGTGAGTGGGAAGGGCTAGTGAAGAAATGGATAGAAGGGAGAGCCCTAGGGACCCTGACATCAACAGCCCAAGACAAGCCAAGAAAAGAAATCAGCCAGAATTAGGAAGAAAACTAGGGTCAAACGTGACCATTTATTTACCATTTGTGAATTCTGGGAATGCAGTTTCTGTAGTATTGGGGATGGAAGCCACATTCAGGAGGGGCTTAAAGAGATAAGAGGCTAAGGAGAGGAGTAGAAATGAAGGACCACTCTTAAGAAGGGTGAGAATGGAGGACAGTATTGAGACGGTGTGGGAGCTAGAGAAAGGCAGGGTGAAGAGAAAGGTTAGAAGGGGTGGGGGAGGGATGATAAAGGGAAGACAGAATGTGGGAAAGGATGCATGAAGAAAAGAAATGAGCAAAGAGGAGAGAAATAGGAAGATATTGGGAGGGACCATGGTAAAGAGGATGCTGAGAAATGAGGAAGTTCTAATCCTTAGTGGAGTCCCATACTTCTGTTGACGTCTTTTACCACCTCCCTTTGAGATATGATTAGCAATACTCAGTATTCATACAGCTTATTCTACAAACTTGAGAAATTTCACTCTAATGAGAAGAGTTTATCTCTGACCTGCCGACTGGTGACCCTAGCAAATAGCACCAGGTGAAATCATGTCAACATAATTGTAGCTAGCAACCTTAATTCTAATGCATTTAAATTCTACCTAAAAGTGATTTCCTTATATTAGATCTAACAAAACACAGGTTAACAGTGGAAGTAGCCTCTCTGATACTAGTTCCCATGAGTGCCAGTTGGTAAATTAGGACTGTATGAGGAATCATACACAAGGAGGGTCAATAGAGACCACTTACTTCATTCCTTCCATTGGCTGGATGGAGTGGGAGTGGGGAATCCATCCTCTGAAAATAATCATTTCAAATAAACGACTGAAGTTGGCGATTCAGACTCCTTGGCACACGAAGCTATTCCTCACTTTTCAGAGGAGAATTTGTGCCTGCAGTTGTCCTTACTTTAAAGTCATAAATGGAGCTGATATTCTAGAAAGTGACTATGGTGGTCATGGAGATAAGGTGACAAGGGAGGATAGAGTAGTCCACGTGTCAGAAGTCCAAGGGCCCATACAAACTAAAACTTATGGGGAATATTACAGGAGTATGGAAAGATGTATGGACAGGATGCATGTTGCAATACTGCTTTTAACAGTGAAAACCTCAGATGCACTTAAATGGCTACTAATCAGAAATTTAAACATATTAAGTTACACCCATACAGGGGTTTACTATGGAGTCACGAAAACTATAGATGAAGAATAGCTAGGATTTACTGAGTGCTTACTCTGTGCCAGGCACATTACTTGATTTGTCTAAAACTTGGCAACAGACTTTTGAGGATGCTATTTATGTGGTTTTACTGAGACTCCAAGCACCTGAATAACTTGTCTAATATCACACAGCTAGTAGCTGGTACAGTCAAGATTTGAATCCAAACAATCTTACTCTACTTAGTGTACTTTTCACTGTAGGTGTATAAATAGTAACATGGAAAGATGATCAAAGTATAAAAAGTGAAAAAAGTAGGTTATAATTGTGTGACTTTTAAATGCAGTTTATATGCTTATATATGTTTACAAAGAAGAACATCTAGAAGAATGCATGCTAACCAATTTATTAGCCATGTGAGCTGGGTACATTTCCTTGATTTTTATCTTCTTTTGTGTCTATGTATGTATTTTCTGTAACCTACATATATAAATACTCTATTATTTTTTAAATATTTTTTTCTTAAAAAAAGTAATAGTGAAAGAATAAATCAGAAACCAAGCAAACAAAAGTCAGGTCAAATGGAAGAAGACAACAGTGGTTCAGGCGAATTGATATAAGAGGCTGGAAGGGAGAACTAAGAAGGATGGGAAAATATTAAGTAAATTAATAACATTAACATTGCCCTTCTAAGGGCCAGGCATTTTGACCTCATGAAATTGACCTTGTGCCCCAGTTGGTGTTTTAGAAGCAATGCCATTTCCTGATTCTGGGATCTTCCCTCTGATACTATTTTCTTTCCTTTTTCTTCTCCCCCAAGTGGAAGAATTCCACTTTACTTCTTCTTTTTATTTATTTATTTATTTATTAACATTTTATTGGAGGATAATTGCTTTACAATGGTGTGTAGGCTTCTGCTTTATAACAGAGTGAATCAGCTATACATATACATATATCCCCATATCTCCTCCCTCTTGCGTCTCCCTCCCTCCCACCCTCCCTATCCCACCCCTCTAGGTGGTCACAAAGCACCGAGCTGATCTCCCTGTGCTATGCGGCTGCTTCCCACTAGCTCTCCGTTTTACATTTGGTAGTGTGTATATGTCCATGCCACTCTCTCACTTTGTCCCAGCTTACCCTTCCCTAATTGGCAGATGGTTAGACTAACATGTGCTAATATTGTTTCTTCATGCTTGGCGTCAGATGTCAGCTCTTTTATCCTCCACAACTGTGTAGGTTGGAGGAGAGTTAAAGCATTGAAGTAGAAAGCAGGAAATTTACTCTTTGCCCTAATTTTAGAAATTATATCCCTTAAAATTAGCTGAAAACAGGAATGCTGGGTGGGAAGGATAAATGAGAGAAATATATTTATTTCAGTCGAACTTTGCACACGTGAAAATTTTGTTAACTAGGACCTTAAAGATCCTAGGGTTGGTTTTTATTGTGGGGAACAAAAATCTTTTGCTAGTAACACTGGCATTTTAAGGTGATAGAAGTCAAAGATTGTTTTCTTGGGGTTGAACTAGCAGCCAAAACATTCTTTACTTAGGGGCTGGGATGGGGCTGTTGGCAACGCATTTCATGGTGCGGTCTTTAATTCAATGGTAAAATTTAAGCTAAAACAAGCCAAAAACTATAGGTTTCTTTATTTTCACTAAACAGGCAATTGAAATACACGGTACAAAAATAAGTGGTAAGATTATTGTAAAATGAAATGGACAGAATAAATATTCAATTTAATGTTCCATCTACGAGATTTTCACAATAAAATCACAGTTTACTTTGTAAAAAAAAACAACTCCCCGTGTCCCCAAGTCCATTCTCTAGTAGGTCTGCATCTTCATTCTCATCCTGCCCTTAGGTTCTTCATGATCATTTTTTTTTTTTAAGATTCCATATATATGTGTTAGCATATGGTATTAGTTTTTCTCTTTATGACTTACTTCACTCTGTATGACAGACACTAGGTCCATCCACCTCACTACAGATAACTCAGTTTCATTTCTTTTTATGGCTGAGTAATATCCATTGTATATATGTGCCACATCTTCTTTATCCACTCATCTGTCGATGGACATT